GAGCCCTGGTGGCTGCCTGGATAAGTCCCTGCAGTTTTCTTGGCAAGATTTCAGAAGTGGTTTGCCATTGCCTGCTTCCTAGGGCTGAGAGAGAGTGACTGGCACAAGGTCACCCACCTGGCTTCGGGCCTAAGGCAGGCCTAGAACTCACAGTCTCCCGGTTTATAGCCTGATGCCTTAAGCACCACACCAGACTGTCTCCCTAACACACTGCAACTAAGATAGCGATATACACTATTTTACAAAGAATATTTTTTGGTATGAAGAGCTATTCATTTTAAGACCAGTTTAAAGATAAAGAACCAATCAAAAGCAACAAAAGAACACTTAAATTGTCCAGTTAGCATCAGGATAGCAGATTATCCTGAGTAGGCACATAGCTCGATTAACCATCCTCAACATATGGTGATATATCTTTTTATTTATGTCATAGTAATTTATTTTCAAACATGCAGCCATACATATAGATTAATTTATATACATTTCATGCAAAACTGCACTTTCCCCCCTCAAATTATTTTTAATATATTTTTAATCTGACAGACAACTGCAGTTCTCTGAGAGTATTAAAAATGATGCATTAATTGGCTATTAAGAATTACAATATGAAATGGACTTTGAATAAACATCTTTAAACAGTTCTGTAAAATTTGTTACACTCTAATTAATCCAGTAAATTCAACTGCTAGCAGGAATCAAGAGATTATGGGAGTCATAGTCACAGTTTCTGCACATAATACTTTCTGATTCAACATTGCCTTCTGGATTAAAGTCATACATGAGGTTTGGAGTATAAATTGAAAAATATTACCATGGTTAAAATAACTCAGAAAACTAAGTTACATTATTAGAAATATCAACCATCAATCTAGGAGATCTTTGAGTTTCTATCACTATAGTAATCTAAAGTCTGAAGCTGGAATAATTTATCTTCATGCTGTATAACAGTCCAATGAACAAAAATGTGAAATTACATGCACAGTCCTCTGCACAACTTATTTTAAGAAAATGATATTAAACCCGTCACTTTGATGGACAAGGAAAGTTAAGGCAAGGTCTTCATTCTATTCTGATAAAGAATAATTATAGAACTTGAAAAAGTTGTATCTGAATATAATCAGCAAACCTTACAGAAATTTTAAGGTATCCAATAAAAGGATCAGAATATTGTGCCTTCAGAAAAACAATCACAGACTGCAGTATTAAGGTGGTTTACCTGGATTTAGACCAAATGAATTCATAGGGGCTTATTTTTAAGTAATGAGTAAAATCACACAGCTAGAAAATCAAATTTAGAAGGCAATCTCCAAGATACATAAAATACTGAAAAGATAAATCATATAATCAAAGTGTATCTTATAACACCTTCAAGACTAAGATTTATTACAATATGAGCTTTAGTGGGCTAGATAACCTGCAATAGAATTTTTACCATCAATGTAGAAATCACTTGATATTATTTAATATAATTTATAACTGAACATATATGGTACCTTTCACCATTTTCCTTGTCCTTAGTGCACTGATTGACACTTTCTCATAAAGAAATTTATTAGAGATATCATAAACCTACATATAACTTTCCTGCCCATAATCTATCCCTATCCTTAAATAAATCTAAAGGAATCCATCATCTCTTTACAGCAAACTCATTACAGTAAAATTAAACTAGATTGTAGCTTTAAGTCCATGAGTTGTGGTTAACAAGATACTACAGAAACAAAAACTTTGGATCAGATGATCATGCAAGTATATTGCTTCTCTATTCCTTAGCAACCTCAAATTTGCCTGTGTATATTCCAAGACACTCTGAATTCAGGAAAGAAAAAGTATACACCATCTGTATGACACCAGAAACACAACACAATTTTCAGACTTGATAGACAACTAACAATGCAACTTGATGTTGTAATGTGTCCAATCCTCTAGCAGGAACATTCTCATTTCAGAAATGATGGTCTTGCTTCGGTAGGGATAAAGGCCTTCTCAATTATTTCTCCAGCTTTGCTATAAAGCATGCCAAAAAACTATTAGTCACAAACTTGAGCATTAAAGAACACTTCGTATAAAATGTCAGTACAGAACTTAGATAATATCTAAATTTGATGTAATAATAATTTTTTCTGTATATTGATTTAAAAAGAATGAATGAATGAATGAATGAATGAATGAATATTCATTCATTCATTCATTCATTCATTCATTCATTCATTCATTCATTCATTCATTCATTCATTCATTCATTCATTCATTCATTCATTCATTCATTCATTCATTCATTCATTCATTCATTCATTCATTCATTCATTCATTCATTCATTCATTCATTCATTCATTCATTCATTCATTCATTCATTCATTCATTCATTCATTCATTCATTCATTCATTCATTCATTCAAACACATTAGTCCTAAACATTTTTCCAGAAGAATCAATGTCATATGCTGTAATATTTCTTTAGGAAGTGTTACAAGTGACTCTCAGTTTATGGTTCAAGCAAAGTTGTTTGCATATGTTATTTTAATATAGGTTATGCAACATACTTGAGCTTCCAATTTTTTAAAAAACTATCCTTCAAGGATCAGGAGCATCCCTGAGTATTTACCAAGATACCTGAAGTGTCTTCTGATACAGGATATGAAGAGTACAGTTTTTCATAAACCATATAGTGCAAACTGAAAAATGATAAATATTGTTATTTGCAGTAAAAAATCATTCATAATTTAATAAAATGGAAGCCATAACATTTGAATATAAAGAGAACATTAAATAACACTTCAATTCAGTACTCAATTATGAATACATCTCTCACTGGAAAGAATTGAATTTCATGTGAGAATGTATCATCCAGGTGTATTACTAACTCATTTGACAATAACAGATGTCCTTCACCTGTATTGCAAGAAGTGAATCAAAAACAAAGCTATAAGCCTCATATGAGTCAATGACTTCCGATAAAATTAGGGATGGAATTAACTAACTGTGTGAACGGTATCTGGGATATAATTTCTGATGGGCAGACTTAAGAATGACTCCTCTGGATTTAGTTAAGACAATATAGTTGAAAAAAACACATTCAAAGGCTTTATTTTATGAATCAGCACAAAGACATTCCCTACAATCAACAATAATCAAATAATGTTTTTTATGAGACAGAAAAAGTTCATAGTATCAAAAGGCTGTAGAGAAATATAACACCAGAAAAATACGTTAAAAGAAGATATAGCCTGCATCACTGCAGTAACTGAATATGCATGATCTATGTCATTTTAAGTGAACTAAAAAAAAAATAGCTCATTTTGCAACCTACAAGGCATTGCCACATTTTGTGAGTTGTCTTTTTGCCATGAGAGTGACTATACCAGGAAAAGAGAGATGATAAAACAGTCCTTAAATCTACAGTATTTTAACTATTCCTTTAGATAAGCTCCATCCTTTGGACACTCAAGTACTAAGTTTATGCTTAAACAGTATTGCTTTCCTCTACTTAAGGGGTGAAGACATTTTCCTTTCTGTTGAGGACTTTGAGGATAATCTGAAGTCAGCTGCCAAGTATGGATGAGGCACCACATTATTTCTCTTTCTAATAACCTTCTTTTTCCCCTTTTTCTAATGCTCTTTTCTCTCACTATCACTATCTCTGTAAAGGAATGTGAAGATAACCTTGGTATGCAGGAACTGTTAAGGGAAAATAAAAAACAGCAACAACTCAGCACTGGGCAAGAGGAAGGCATGAGAAAGAATCCCAAAATAACCCTGCACTGATTCTGTTTGATATTAAAGGGGTTAGAAAAAACTCGGGCAAGCTTTCAGGATTCTGTTATTATATCCTAAAGTAATCTATAATCTTCCTTGCAATGTCTGCTGACCTGGCCTATCTTGAAGAGCGGACAATCTCCTTCCTTACACCACAGATGGACATAGTTGTTGTCAGAATTCTGGACTGCTTGCAGAGGAAGGGCCCAACTGGCAACTCACAATCACCTATCTAGTCCAATCACTAGTGTGTTATGAATTGTTTTCTATAGGACAGAAAATCTCTTAAATGCAGTAATATTCACAGTGATAGAAACAAGTTACGGAGGAAGTCTAAATCAGTAATAATTTGGGCCAAAGGTAGAACATGACTAATAGTACAGATTTGGAACCTGTTCATAGCCATCAAGATACTTTATAAATATACTGTATTTAATCAAAGAAAATAATAATAAATAATTTAACTGCATGGAGAGCCATGTTAATCACACCTGGATTAAATTAGTATGAATGGTCATGATGATAGCAATCAGATTAAATCAATTTCAACTGTACGAAGAATTAAGACAAAGGTTAGCACAAATTATGGAAGCTATCACATATTCTGCCAAGGAAAAGATTCCAGAGACATACAGCAAAGGGAAGAATTTAGTTCATTCAAACTACACTGATTAGTTTATTGGAACTGATTTTAGCCAGAATAAATGTAATTATCAAATCGTAAAGGCATCCAATTTTAAATACCATTTAGACCTGGTGGTTAAAAGTAGATTGTCTAAAAAAAAAAGATTAATTATGTGCTGTAATTTTGAAAGTCCCTTTAAAGATAATTAAGAAATGTTCCAAATAATGTAATTTTACATGAAATTTTATGTTAATATTATTTGAAATTGTATTGATGCTAAATAGTGACATCTGTTCGAAACCTTCACATTTCCATGACATTATTTACTGCATACTAGAATGCATATAATCATATGAAGAGTTAATAAGTAAAAAGAACTCCTAATGTTACTGTTAGGATGGTCAACAGAAATTATACTCTCTAGGTCTTATTTATTTTAACAATTAAAATTTATTCAGAACTTTGTTTTAATGTATTTATATAACTTTTGTTTCTTAGTAGGAGGCAAAAAAAATCTTTTTTTTTCCTATTTGATTGTGGGAAACAGCTTTACTGCTATTATCACCATTATTAAATATTATTTTTCTTAATAAATAAATTAAAATTAACTGCACGTACCTGATCTTGAGATTTCTTTTTCTTCTTCTTCTTGCCCCAGCATCCCGAACTTTCTGCATCTTTTCCATTGGCATCACCACAAAGTAAACCATCGAGTTCATCCGTCCCCATTTGCTGTCCCTGAGATGTTTCTGCAGCGAGTCTATATGAGAGGTTCCTTAAAATGCACACACAGTTTTCAACGGTCTGAAAGAGCAAAGAAAAATAAATTATAATATTTTTAGAATTCTCATATTCATCAAAAAAGTTATGAGTTTTCTAAATCTCCTTGTGTAGAACTGAAAAAAAATTTGGCTGGCAGGTTCTTAAGAGAGCTAGCTAAAATACCCTGGCATACATACCCTAGATAGTGTTCTTATCAAAGGAGGAGGAAACACTTTTATTCCATCAAGGTTTTCTTTTCTGTGTGTGTGTGTGTGTGTGTGTGTGCATACTTTCAGATATGCAGCTTGTTATATGAAAACGATAGTCACCTCAGTGAAGACTTTAAATAACAGCAAGTCACATTTCTTTGAGAGAATAAAGTCTTTGTCTAGATGTAACAGGAAAACTAATGTTGAATTAGAAAGAGAACAAAACCAAACTTAAAATGTGGTAAACAGGATTTACATATGGAAGTATAAGCTCAAAATTAGGAAAAAGGTGACATCTTTTCCATGGATTCATAAAAAAGAAAGGGGTGTGTGTGTGAAAGGAAACCACTATGTGTATTGTGAAGGATCATCCATCATGAATGCTGATGATTATCTATCTAGCGAAAATAATAGATCTGCAATTTAAACTGTCTCTAAGATTGATGGAAATATCACACAGGAGTGTCAGGGACAGCTTTTGTGCATCTGCATGGAATCCATGCTGAAATGTAGTAAACTCAACGGCAAATCTAATACAACTCCTTAAAAACACATTGCCTTTCATTTAAAACAATTGTTTGTGATTACAACAATTTGTAAATGGTGAGGTGTTAGAACACCCTGATGAAGGATTATAGGCCATTTACTCCTTTGCTCCTAATTCTACTCCCCTCTGTGTTTTAAGAATTGAAAAAAATGAACAAATAAACTGCAGGATCTCCCTGACTGCCTAAGATAAAACACAGTCAAAGCACTTGATTCCCACTCCATAGCCTAATTGCCATCTCCCCTGCTATTTTTTCCCTTCTCTACCAGCTTCTGGACCGTGCTGATTAAATCCATTGTACCTTGATTTATTCTTTTCAAACACCTCACCGGACATCTCTAATATGGCGCCTCTCCTCTGCAACTCATTAACACTGCCTTTATGAAAATCACAGATGATTTCCTGAGGTCTCCATTAGGATTTCCTCAAACAATCCACATCTACGCTCAAATTTGGCAGAATTGGCACTGCAACGTCTGATCCCCATCTCCTACAATCTCCTCTCCTCATGGTGCTGCTTGCGCATTTCTGTTTTTTAACACTCTTCCCATCCTTGAAGTAAGGATCAGTTAAGGTGAGGTAAGAAGCTATGACACCTACATAAACAATTCTGCAGAAATAATACACAAATAAATCTTAGCTCCTTAGTTCTAGGAGTAGACGGGAAGTTTATAGCATAATGTTATGTTATTTTGCAGTTAACTTAACAATTGTGCTGTTGACTGGATGGCAATTGCATTCCAATTTGTATTAGATACATCAAATTCCTAGCATAAATAAATGGTGACAATAATTTCCCTTTGCCCGGTCATTACATCAGACAAAATATTCCAAATTGGAAATCAAGAATGGAGACTGAAAAATTACCCTGAGTCATATCTGATATACATACTGAGTTTCAGTATGTGCGTATATCATATTATTTCATCTGTGAATACACACATATCAGCTACATGCCTGCACAGAGTCCATCTGGAATCCTCTTGAAATGACAGAATTATTTGGTAGGAGCAAGACTATGTACAACGTGCACAATTAGGCACAATTTCCATTAAATCCCTTCAGTTCCTGTCACTACAGAGCAAATCTTGAAGAGAACACTGGGGTCACCTAGCACCAGGTATGAATACGAAGGGGAACTGTGTGACCATTCAAGCAACCTCAGTTACAGGTAAATAGCAAGTACTTCACAGCGGTATCTGTGATATATACGCATGGACGCTAAGCTAGCTAATTATCTGGAAGAGTGTTTAGTGTATATAAGTGAACTGAAGAAAGAATTGCTCTCCCAAGTGGGTATCTCTCTGTGAGCAGAGGGCCAGGTAATAATATTGGAGGCAAATAGGTCTCATCAGATGCTCTGTATAATTCTGGTAGAGGGATCCTATGTAGAAAGACCTCAGGTGCATCTCTAGTTTATGAAGAGTAATCACAGATCCAGAATGGGCACAGTTACTTACTTTTTAACCAAGTTTGATAACTATGGTCATCTTCTTGGAAAAAGTTTAAAAGACAGAACAGACACCAGTTCCTTGTAAGTAGAAATGTAGTCAGTGTCAAGTAGAAAGCAAGTGTTCCTTTGAACCCTAAAGAAATTGAGTGATCTCTTGGATTGATGTCAAGAGATTGAAAAACTTGCAATTGTTGCATCATCAGAGGCCCCTTCCTTGTTTTGCCTCAGTTGGGATCAAGTCTTTTAGCAGATTTTGGCTGTTTATCAAATCATTTTCTTGATGCCAAGAAACTGCATAGTCCTGGGGACTGCCCCAAAGAAGAGAGAATCTCAAATGTGTTCAAGAAGGGTTGACAGAGGCCAGTGACCAATCATAGGAACTCTGGCTGAAGATGAAGGAAATGTTAATAGTCTCAAAGTTGGTTGTTCTAAGAACTGGCTCCCAAAGTGTGGCTTGCAGGTGAGAGGAGCAATTTTGAATTTATTTTGTAAACTAGTGCAGCTTACAAGAATCTACTGCATGGATTTCCCTAAGGCACAAGGCAAAAAGGCGGAGTTTGCTTCTGCAATGCTGATACATGCAGAAGAGAGCATTTGAGGTCATATGGCTGACAATCCAACAACAGTCCTACAACCATTCATGAATAGAATAAAAAAATAAACAGAATTATAATTTAGTTTTGTGGTCTAAGAGTGAAAGTAACAGAAATACCAGTTCTGCCTAGTCTTCCTCTATATATATTTGACAGTTCATATTTTGTGAGAAGCAGCTACTTAGTACCTTTTGAACTTTTCAAATATTGGAAAAAGCAGTGTTGTGTTGTATTTTGTGTATCTTGATGGAGAAGAGTAGTGCATACTAAGAAGATTCTTTATTGCATGAAATATTATGTGACAGAATAATTGATGTGCTAGAAGATTACATTATGTCATATAATCTTCCATCAATTAGCAGGCAGTAAAAAAAAATGATCTGCCAGGTTATGCTTTAAACAGGAGGTGTTTCTAATTTTCTTAGCTACATAAAAGCTAAATCAGTGGCTGCGGATCAAAGCTTCTTGAACTGCTATGCCAAATAGAAAAAGACATCAACATGCTTTAAAATAGCACTGTCTGAAGTTGCTTTAATCAACAAAATCCATTTCATTTCTATGGCACTAAGAATGGGAATTTTTAGGAATTCCTAAATCTCCTTAGAAGTATTAGTTGCTCCATGCTGTTGGGCTCTTAGTGGAATGTAGACTGGACATTTATTGCACTTTTTACCATTCAATAGTAATATCTGCAGTAAAGAAAAATGCTTTGCTTTTCATCTCACTAAATCTAGAGTAAGCATGCTTTTCAATGTGTTCTCAAGCCTTCTCAGAATATATTTGTAAAATACCCAAAGAGAGATATACAAGTTTGTTCACTGTGGTCTCTTTGAATTGCACTCATGCATTTAGTAATATACAAACGTATTCCTTAAGCCCCTTAAGTTCAGAAATAAGATCAAAGGCAAAGACTATCTGAATACTGCAAAGTAAAGAAAAACTAAATCGACTACTCTTAAGAATAGTAAGTATAGTACACTTCCATTTGAGGTGAATATGTGCAGCTCAGGGTTGAACTGTGGAGTCCTTGGGGTTCTCTGAGCTTGGTTCTTTTCTTGCAAACGTTTCATTACCCTAGCCGGGTAACCCCAAGGACTCCACAGTTCAACCCTGAGCTACAGATATTCACCTCTATTGGTAACACTTCCATTTATTGCTCAACCTATTTTAGGAGAGAGAAAGAATGATGACCTATTTCAATCTATGTCTTCCAGATGCACTGAATACAACTATCATTCCCAGCCCCTAATGTATAAAGTGAATTTGAAAAAATGGCAGATGAATTAACAGATATATATGAAGCAGGACAAGGCTTTATCAGCGATCTCAATGTTTAGCTATTATCACTGCATAGGGAAATCTATTTTGTGTGCCTTACAATTCTGTATGCATAAAGCAAAGGTAAACAGGCCTTTGGAAGCCAGGGAATTTTTTTTTTCTTTTTGCGGGCCAACTTCTGCAGTGGTTGGAGCTATGATGCAAAGTGGGCAGGAGCCAGGATTTGGTTGGTTTTTGATAGTTGTGATCTGAGATTGGAAATGCAAAAAATAAAAAATCCAGGCTAGAGAAACAGAACAAACCTTGCTATCAATTTCACTGCTTCCTAGAGCAGACTGAATCACATAAAGCAATGCATCGGTAAGTCCGTCACATTCTCTCATTCTTCTGCGGGCTTCTTCTCCAGCAGAGCTGACATTCCTGGAAGCAAATAATAATGATGACTCTTTGCTCAATTTTATTTTTACTTTCCACAAAAGGCATTTCACAGCATTGGTCACTTTGAAGCAACATCACTCACCATACAGATAGCTTGGGACTGTAACTCGCAGAATTCAAGATGTTGCAGTCCCAAAACATTTGTGGTCTAATTTCTGAACTAGTTCAACATATATATTGGAACTTTTTCAAAACTGTTTGAAATTCTAATAGTATCAGAATCAGAAAATTGTGAATTCAAAAAAAAAATAAAATAAAATTCATAAAGTAGCTTTATAATGAAGATAAGTCTTCATTGATTAAAAAGCTTCATAATTCTTACATCTAAAATAACCCTCAAGAATTGTGGAAGTTACTATATATTTCTGCATTCTACAACAAAACGACTGCACTTTATAGTAGTAGTGGGAAAAATTATTCAGATAAAAATGATTTTGCATTAAGAATTTCAAGATGCTTCAATGTTCATGTTATCTTCTGTTACCAAAAATTCACTTTGTTTTATAGTAAAATATTATTATGAATAACACTTAATATGCAAGATATTTTGGTTTCTGGTCATGATAATCAGATGGGTATTGGCATTCTCTTGCACCTCCTACAATTTTCATCTTGATAACTATTTATTTGCTATGCCAATTGCTATACTGGAATGAGGAACAAATGATTACATTCTGTTCTGATTATTGGAGTAGGTCTGTATGTTATCTGCCTGGATGGCAGCCAAGGAAGATCCACCACGTCTTCCCTACTTAAGTAAGAATGTCAGTAGCCATTGGGAAAGTCATAATGGCTATTTTTCTTGATGCAGACTGTTAATACTGTAAGTTATAACTCATTTGGAAGATCATGTGAAATCAACAGATTTCACCTATAACTGATTTACTAAAAGCTGTTAAGTAAACAACATTTCTGGAACTTAACTTTCAAAAAGCCAGTCTCCTGGAATTCTAGGAGAAGCCTCCTCCCCCCCCCCAACCCAGCTGGTTTGTAGTATCAAAGATTTAACTTCAAGAGTATTGGCTTGCTTGAAGATTTTCACTTAGATGTTGAAAGGGCTTATTGTGCTTCAATATCTCTTTCTCACAGAGTTGATAAACCTCAACCATTCATTGTAAGTTTCCTTAGATTTACTGTGAGAATGACCTTCAACAATGTCTGCTTGAATGGACAGATAAAAACTCTCATAATTTTTCTTGATTTTATTAAAGAAGCTCAACAACACAGAAAAATGTTCAATAACACAAGAACTATTGCTTGGGAGAACATTTGTGCTTCATTAGGTTTATAGCCATCTTTGTTTTACAACCATCAAATGGGTACTCACAAGCAAGACATAATCATGTGGAAGCTGAAAGATATCTCACTTATGCAAGTTCCTGCTAAAGGAGGAGGATTAATGTTTTCTTTTTGTATTCTGCAATTATGTTGCTTGTATCCAGACTATTAGATCTCTTTACCTCTGGCTTTTAATTACACATTTGTTTGTTATAGTTACTTGTCCTTGGTTATAATGAAAGATTATGAATGGCAGTTTCTTCTATAATTGTGCAATTCCCGTTTTTTCTCCTTTTTCTCTCCCTCCCTTCCCCTATTTTTCTTTTCCTCTAAACTGGCTTTTATTAAAGATTAAACTTTCATTCCTTTTATTCTTTTTCTTCCCTGTTAGATTGTGCAATAATAACAATAGCATGGCTTGTTCATTGTGCCAGGGGTAGCACAATTTGGGTGTTAAGTTACAGTGATTAAGATGAATTAACATCAAGGATGATTTACATTTTGAGATACGTTCCCACATTTATTCCAGCACATTATTTTAAATGACTTTATACAGGACACTGAATAAATTCCTTTGTTAAGGGCATTCTGTGAGATTTTCAATAAACAAGTTACAATGATTTTTTCAGAAAGATGGCTTTAGCTTTCCACCCTTACAGACTTATCACTGGGCATGCATGTTAGCTTCAGCACTTTATTCTGAATAACCCCTCAAGAGTTATTATCCGATGGCACTGAAGTCATAGCAAGTATTAAGATTTTTGTTGGTGTAGGGATCTGTTTCCATTAATTCTGCAAGATCTACATAGAAAATATTAGGTCACAGATATTATTTTGACAAATTTACCCATGAAACCCATTTTAAAAATAGCATCCAAATCTGGGTTGTTGGGCTTTTTTTTTTTTTTGATAAACTGGGCCTCTCACATGAATCAACTTGAATCAACTTACTTTTGAGGAAACCATTTTTCATTTTTTTTGCAAAATTAAAAAATAAGACTGATTTACCTCACAGTAATTCTTGTCGGTTTATTTAACTTAAACATTTATTATTTGGTTTATTTGGTTGAAATGCTATTGCTGCTTCTGAAGTTCCATAATGATTGGAGATTTTGGGGGAACTAACTGTGGGCTCTTAAGTGATTAACCCTTCCCATAGGAAGCTGATGAAATTGGTATTAGTAATTAACACAACCTCAGGAATAATGAGTTTCAATATTCTCTCCTGGTAAATTAATGGAGGGTTGCGTTAAACAAATTGAAATTAGTTTCCTTAGATCTTAAAATGAGGTTAATACAGCAACAAAAATGTTTCAGGTACAGAGGATTTATGTTTAATTTGGATTGGTTGCAACTTGCTGTTGGAGATGCCACTCAGGAGTTGGAACACTAATTCACATTGTTTTAATCTTCTAGTATTATTGCCACTATTTGGGCAAATACTGACAGGATTGTTAATATGATTTGGGATCAGTCACTGTGTTAAAGAAGCCCATGTTCTTCTTAGCTATATCACCAGTATATAGAATCTCTCAAGATACAAAGAATGTACATTCTTCAGGCATATGGACAGCTAAAAAATTATCACACATATATACATTGGAAGCAGAAATCTGTACTTGATTTGCAGCAACCAACTGTTATGTGTTGTTTGTCAAAATTCGAATTCTTTGATTTCTAATAAAAGCCCAAGGAAGCAGCCTTTCAAGAATCTCATCAAAGTCTCTGCAGGTATTCATAACATAATTTTTCATAATTTTTCTCTTGTTTTCCTCTTTAATTTGGAATTATGTTATTTTGTTAATGCTGTTATATGTATTTCTACTTTCTGTTAATTAGTATAGCATAATACAATTATTTTAAACATCTAGTTGGTATTTTAAAATCTGTAAATCAAGCAGGGCTATAATATATTTAAACACAAATGGCAACATACCTCAAATCTACCGAAGTTAAAATAATAATGCTAAATTATTCATTGGGATTTTCAGCATCAGAATATAATACTGGCTTGTCAAGCACTGATTTCCTAGACCAGCATGTTCTTGCAATAATTCTGTATTGTCTAAGTAGCATTACCTTTTCTGACTTTTATACCAGCAAAATGTCATATATTTTTAAATTGTTGGTTATTGATTTCCTTGAATATACTTAATGAAACTACATAAATCAATGTATATTTGAATATGGTTCTGCTTTCTTGATCCTACAGTCAAATGATCAATAAAATTAGTCAATTTTCATTTATTCAGCCATGCTTTTCATTCTGAAATTATTAATTATTCTAGTACTTCTCCATGTCCAGACTGTGTATGAAATATGCTGCCTTTACTCTTCTGTTTTGTTATTTTTTCAGTCAATTAAGTAATAAAATCTGTGTGTCTTTTTGGCCAAATCAAACAGACTGTAATAATGGAAATTATTAACAATTGCAATTCTCATTATGGATGGAAATCCTGGGAGTTATAGCCTCAGCATATCTATAGTTTACCAGGTGGAAGAAGGCTTATTGAGCAATGTTTTTTGTTTTGTTTTATGTATACCTCACCTGTGTACTCTGATGAGTAAACAAATTAGCATATATATTACTGATATATGTATATATAGAATTACCTCTTTATTCTATTCTTGTGTACATACATACATACATACATACATACAAGAACAGAATGTTAAAATATTAAAAATACAGTAAACAGAATACTAACACCCAAGAAACAATTAAAAGCTTGGTGAAATAAATCTTTATAGGATATCTAAACATGCTGAATTTTAATTCCTGGATCCTATTTCCAATTCCCTAACTGTACCTCCTTCTTATCAAGTTGTCCTTTTGCATATTATGGAAAAGATAGGGAAGGGAAGGAGAACTACCTCTTAAAGCAAAGTGAAGTAATCAAAATATTTTACAAATGAGACTTTTCCAAAAAATGGGTTGAGATGCAGAAAAATCTAAGAAATGAAAAAGAATATGACAAAGAAAGGATAAATATAGAGAGAACTGAAAACTCAATCAAGCAAATTACACACAGCACGTAATTAAAAATAATGTACTATAAAACTAGAAAATAAGTATCAGCCATGAGAAAATATTATGTTTAATGCATGTGGGATTCTACAGAGCATAAGAAACTGTAGACAGTACAAATTGGAAATACAGTAAGACACTATAGTGGTTATTAATATTAAAAGAAGTTGCCTCCCTAATTTAGTGTGTAAAGAACCTCTTGCCTAATATCTTGGAGATTTCATTTCTTCAGAAAATTGTCCTTACATTTCCACTAAACTGATGTCTAATTGAGGACTCAAGCCACTCCATATTAACTTTCATTTTGGATCAAAAATTAAAACAGTGCCATTGACTGAAAAATGGCATTTCCCTACCTAGGATAGTCGTCGTCTTCTTCTTAGTGTGCAGCTAGGCAAGGAAGTCATACTTGGGCAGTTAAGTCATCCAAATCAATCTTGATGATCAATGAGATGACAGATGTCCCAAGTAGACTGTTCTTGCAATCAGTATGATTTATCATCTACACTGTCAATTACTGTTACAGATAGATCATATAATTCCTGGTTTCAAGTCACCCAATCAGCAGCATTGTGTATCCTTTGCCTGTCACTATGGAACCCCCTCCATTTTTCAGGACCCTGCTCCCCCATGATTCTTGATGGCTCTTGATCTATGCCACAGTGACCATGTTGTA